ATGAATTTGTTCTTCTTTTTTTATGTGTCAGATATATGTGTGTGTACAACTTGAATTAAAAATTAAATCATTACAGTTTTGTTAATTATTATGGTAGTGATTTTCAATCTACTATTTCTATCGAGTCTGAGTCAAGTCTGAGGACTGTCTATCTACCACTTTAAGAGAACCATGACTGAAAGGAACTAAACATTCTTTTTTAAAGCTAAAATCAACTAATTATCTTTCAATTAATTAATGCATTCACGATTAAGTTGAAACTGCAGCGAACTCAGATTATGTCAGACAAAGAATTTTAATTTAAAAAAATTAATATTATTTCAGCACTTTAAACATTTCTAATTTCTTCTCAATCCCCCTTCTGTAAATATATCTTCTAAAATAGTATGAAAGACTTCCTTTTGTGGATTTTAATAAAAAGTAACATTCATTTTTTTTTGTGTGGTTGCATTACAGATATTTTCATATTATTCAGTTAAACTTAGTGACAGATTCTTCTGATTTAAAAAAAAAGGTTAACCATTATCACTACCAAATAATAATGTGGAGGTATAGTAGCATGCAACCTTTACAAAATTTCTAAAAACTGTGTATTTGACAAATACAGAATTACATAATTAAAGCAGTATGCAAAAGCAGAATTACTAGTGAGGTTTCATATTTGATATTAGTTTGAGCGGTGTGTGTACTAAAGTTTTATTTCATGAAGAACATCAAGGAAATTTAACTGTTGTTCACTTCATGGCTCTGCAGGGTTGAATTAAAATATGAGTTATACAGGTGGCACCTGGGACTCTAGATTTAATAGGGCACCAAATGTTAAAAAGAAAATCATTTAAATAAGTTCTTAATTAGAGTACTGATTACTAAATAGAGATTATAAATTTACCAACTTTTTTTATTACTAGTCATTAAGTAAAATTGCCAGTTAAATCAGTTGACTGTTAATTTATCAGTATTTTTTCTGCCCCAAAATGTATTAAAAATATTAAAAGTAAATAATACCAAAAATAGCTCTTTTTTTTAGAACTTAACATATATTACCCCCCAAACGTACAAAAATAAATTTTATATATTAGAAAGTTATTTAAAAATATGGAAATGTTTTCAAGTTTATGTTGTGTAAGTTTATACTAATAAGTTGGTGCAACGTAAAAAAGTAATCCAAATAATTTTTGGTATATTAATAAATTATTATACATAGCTCTCTACTGTGAATTTTTACTTACATGTGTAATTATTTTTTTTTTAAATGCCAGCTCTTTTTTAAAATTAGATATGCAAAAGGCACTAGAAAAAATAATATCTTCAAACTATAGTGTCTTAATTAAGATTTGAATTTTTGCCCAGCACCAACTACTTCTAAAGAAGCTTTCTCAGATTTTACACTTTTTGGTCTAGAAGCCGTTTAAAAAATCATATGCTATTTGAATTGCTTTTTATTTTTTTTTCCTGCTGAAGATACTTCAGTTCTTTCTTGACAACTTGATATAAAATTTTAGTTTCAATCAAAGCTGGCTTTTCAAATTTTAATTTTGTTCTTTATTAGAAACTGAACTTCATTCTTCATTGGTTATATAGCAGATGATATTAAAGGAATTGTACTTAAAGAATTTTCAGAACCAGAATGATGTTATTTCTGGTTGTTGTTATCCTGTCTTTGATAAAGTCTATTCAAATAGTAGCATGGGCTGAAATGGCAGCTCTGGCAATATGCAAAATGTTATCATCATAGAGGTTCAATCTCTGAAACAAGATCCCCAATTTTTAGGAATTGAGCAAGAATGGTCGGATTATCAAAAATGCATGTAATTGTCAGTTCTGTGTCCAGGCAGTTATCACAGCTCGTGCAAGTTTTGCTATCCTCTCTGTCAATTTTCAATACTCTCTGTGATGGCCAGTTCCAAGTCTGACAATGGTTTTAGTTATCAGTCAGTCTCCCATTGATATTATGGAGCTGGTGCTTTATTGGAATTGCTCCCTTTAATCTGTATGGCATTTGTGTCCAAGAAGGTGATATTTATGTTATTATTGTTGAGATTTCAAGCTTGTTTTGCCAGTTTATCTGCTACCTGTGATGTTGATATGCATAGGGCCGACATGTCAAGTGAAGATATACATGTCAAGTGCCTCCACTATTGCCGCTGTTTCTGGCAATCCAGTAATATGTTTTGTTCTTATAGTTGCTTTCGGTTATTTCTTCATAACTGTAGTTTTAAAAGTTTTGTTTAAAATTTTGTCGATTTGGTCATTTCACTGTTTGGGATCAGATTTGGAAAAAAGCAAAGCATCAGAATAATTAGTTTTCTCTCCCCCTTTTGTAAGATGAAGAATTTTTTTAAAGTATTGCATTAAATTGTGTTGTAATGTCTGTGATATATAAATTAACATCTTTAAACCAAGTATTTCAGCAACAAATTTTATATCAGTTGTAATGCTGATATCGTGTTAGACAATGCAAGTTCATTATATGTAGAATTTTTTTTTAATTTTAAATCTGTGCAATACTTCCAAACACAATATTTAATCATTTGAAAAATTCTAGCGTAATGAGCAAACTATTCTAGCAAGTTTTAAGAGTCTAATATCAATAATAATTTTATTTAACTAATTACTTCTTTTATATGGTTTTGTAGTTAGTTGTCTTTTTATTGTGGTTGTTGTTAATGATAATGATTTTGGGAAGTTTACTTTTTGCATTTTTATTTCAAAAAAGAATTTTGCTGAACATTCTGTAAAGAATTTAAGTAAAAATGCATAATTATGTCTCAGAGATTTCAGAATCCCCTATACTGAGCTGTTCACCAGTTTTCTGATCTTCATCCCCAGTTTTATGTGAATTATTCGTATTTTGAAGAACTTTGATAACAGTCACATTTATTCCATGTGTAAGATAATAGTAATTGGTTTGCATTAATCCGATTCCTTGCTTTCTTCATCTGTGAAGCTTCATCTGTAGTAGTGTTGCAGTATTTGATAAAGAAATATCAGATTGTGCCAGTTTAATTTTAAAGGAAAATTACTCATTTTAAACTAGCTAAAAAAGATCTTTGAATATGACATAGCGTAAAATACCAGAAATTATCTCTTCCAAGGACATTGATGCTCATTTATTGATGGTTTTCAATGGGTGTCTACTCATCTAATGATAGGCCAAACAAATTATCAAGTTTATATTGTAATAGCCTGTTCATTACTTCTTTGCTTGATTTTATATGCATTAGTACATTCTAATACTTGAATTGCTTTTTAAGTTTTAGGAATGTACTTGTGCTGGAGGAAAAATATATATATAATGTTAATGTATGGTATTCACTGAATTACCCATAAAATAGTAATGCTTTATCAATAAAAAATTTAGGTTATTTTTTGCAATTCACCATAAACTAAGAATTCAATTTAATAGTATTAGAGTTCCTATTTCCTATGATGACTTCTCTCAGGATGTACAGATGTCTTCTATACTGATTTATAATTCTGAAATTATGCTTCTCTTAATGAGGTACTTCTGTGCAGGGCATAATTTGCATACCTGCATGAATTTGCTGTATTATTTGATACATATTCACATTTGCTATTGTCAAGTCATTATTAAATTCTAGTAAATTTCTCCATTTTGCTGCATTGTACATACATATCGAAAGTATTGCTGTCAGTAGCTTTGAACCCTCTAAGTGGCAGAATTTTTTAGATCTGCCCAGTGAAGACTTGTATTTAAACAACTTCTATTAAATTTATATGGCTACTTATTTCAGTCTCTGTTTTCATAAACTTCCATTCATTAAGATGATATTTACATTATTAAAAAAAAGTAAAAAAGCAAAATATTTTAATTTATAATCAGTATATACCAAATGGAGAAAAACGTCATGAACAGATAAAGTGGGTTAATAAACTACACAACTGATTAAATTATATCAGAGTAGTTTTTTCTTCTACAGTATTGTAAAAGGTATACAAAAGGCATAAAGAATTTTAATAAGCTACATAATAATTTTCAAGCTTTACTCAGATTTTAAAAAATGTAAAAAATATTACTGTAATAAATCACGGCCATATTTATGATATTTATATTTGAAACAAAAGTATTAGACATTTAAAAGGCAAGAAAATATGTGATGCTTAACTATTCAAAATATACTGTGTACCTGCTGGCGATCTGCTATTAGAAGCATTGCAAAAAAGTTAATTTCATTGTCGGTGTGAAAGAAATGCTTCTGAGACTTACCAGTTTGTGTAAACACAGAAGATGATGCATTCCCAGAGTAGTTAGCACTTTTAACAAATTAACTGACCAATCTCACTCATGCATAATAGTAGAACATGGAGTCTGATATCTGACTGATTGCTTTCTACTGCCATTTTCTGCTTTTTTTTTTCCTCTGTTTTTTATTATTTTGATAGAATTGCCATTTATATTTGTTATATTATTGGAATTACAGTTGTATTACTGTCTTTTATTATGGGGATTAAAATTTAGTTTTGAGGAGGATTGGGATTTAATATTCTTAATATCAATTTCTGTGCTGTAAATAAATTTGGTGCTTCAAAAGGGAAAGCAATATATGCAGTATGAATAAAAAATATAGTTATGCACTATAACCTTTTTTTTAACTGTTTTCTTATGGTTGTAAGCCTTATTACTTTGTGAAAGATAAATGAATCCTTGTAATTCAGAATGATTTGTTTCAAAAACTGCAGGGAGAAAATTATATCAAATTGTGAAGGTACATGTGTTACAATCCCACTTTTTTTAGATAACACGATAACTTGTGTGTTTTTGTGATAAATAAATAACTATTATAAAAGTGCGTCTATAAAGATTTGCTGAAGCTTTATTTCACAAAAAAATTAATTTTTCTTGTTTTTCCATAATTTTTATAGCTTTTGGTATATGTTTTCAAATGTATCTATAAATGCAATTTGCATATTTAACTGGTATATGTAATAATTTTTTCTCAAAATGGATTAGCAGTTTTACCCGATTTTCTTGAATGTAGTGAATGATGGCTTGATCTCAGAAGCGGGCAGTGATTGCAGATGTCCTGTAAAGCTGGATGAATTCTTTTTCATCCTTTATCTTCAATGCTGGTGTTAGTTTGCTACCTAACAGCATCAATAGCAAAAGGTAAAATATCTATATTCAGTCACATTTAATGTCTTTCATATTTTTACTATTTGAAACACAGTAACTTTTGTGTTTTTTTTTTTTTTTTTAGAGTATTTATAGGAAAACATATGAGAATAAATGAAACTGCTTGTTTAAAAATTTAGCATAATTATGATATTGCAAAAATTAATTTGTAACTGTTTTCTGAAGTGCATTTTTATTTCCATGTATATTTTTTTCTCCTACAATCAGTGCTGCAGGTATTTAACATAGGAAAACTCCAGAGTCCATGGAAAATGAATGTGGAGGGATATCAGAATATTATCATACTATTATTTTTGCTTCAAATATATCCTTTATCAAGGAAGGCCATTCTTCAAAAGATTCCTAAAATAGAATAGATTTATACAGGCTTTATCTACGTAACAGATAGTTGTACATTTTTTTAACCTGTTAGCCTCTTTCTTGCTATATAACATTTTGCAAGGAATATATCATTATTTTCGGTTAAATTGGGTCTTGCATTGAATAAGGCATTGAAAATAGGCATTTTGATATAAACCTGTTTTGAAAATATAGTAATATGTAATAGTTCAAATTTCATTTGGGTCAAATAGAATTTTTTGCTGGAAAAGGCAACGTGAAAAGCAGTTGTATCACACTGCCCTTTATGTTGCATTTGTATCATATCCTTATATAGAAGTTGATATAACCAACCAAAGGAAAGAATAAAAGTGACTGTCATATATTTTTAGAGTATATCTTACATTTATGTGAAGCATTTAAACTTAAGTTTGTTGTAGCAAAATTATTTAAAAATTCTTTGAAGTGCTATAGTGCTTTAATTTTCCGATGTAGATTGTGGCTATGGATTTACAGTGATTTTGAGATGAATCTTGCCAAATTTTGCTGTCTTAGCAATATCAAGAGTAATATATCTTTGGGGGATATATTCACAGTGTATGTAGATTTTATGCAAGTAAGTCTAGTAGTGGGATTTAGGAAATTAATAATTTTGGAATATTCAGTGTTTTCTTTAAAAATGCATACTTTTCCTATAACTATGATGTTTTGTAATTAAAAATGTATGTATGAAAAATCGTCCTGGATAGAAATGCTGATAACATATTGTTCTTCCTCATGATAATGCTAGAACTCATGTTACATATTATAGGATACTGTACCAAGATATGGTCTGCATACTCCATTTCTAGCTGAAGCCAAGTGGTAAAGTTGCTGAACAGTGGTAGTTTGGTCCGAGGTTCAAATCCTGCTAATAAGCTAGCTGCATGGCTGTTTACATGGTTTTTCCCATGTGTATTGTGCATAAGAGTTAGTTTCCCTTACAAAGTCCTCCACAAAAGCATTCCTTCCCTGAGTCAAGTAGCCCTGGAGGCTTTGCCATAATCACATAAACCAAACCAATTTCAGCTGCATACAATAGCTCATTAAACTAATGTTTAAAGCAATCTTGCAGCGAGTTTGGCTTGTGAAATGTGACAGTTATCTTTCTGGCTGTTGCTTGTAATTAATGTGTGCAGTTTTTTTTTTTTCTTGTAACAAATTATAATGCCACTATGGATTTTGCTTGCTAATCAAAATGTTGCATCCATAAAAGAAACAGCATTAATGAAACACTGAAAATTACATAAAGTGACAAATGATCTAAATTTAAAAACAACTGAATAGTATCCACTGGCTGTAAAAATGTAAATGTTGTTGGGATTTATTTTCATTATTATTTGGAAGTCATAAAGTATATGTAAAATGGTACATTTGGCTAACTTTTATTTATCTTTGATGTTACATTATAATAGAAATCTTGCAGCTTGAAAGTAGTTTATTAACTGTCCTTAGGTGATAGTTATAATAGCATTTAAAAATTTGCAATACCATTAAATGAAAAATAATAATAATTTTCTATCAGATACTTAAACCTTGCTAACACCAACATGTTTCTCCCTCTTTTTGTTTTGTGCTCAACAGGTCCTAACATATGATACTTTACATCTGTCTTTAACAATTACAGGCTTAGGTGCTGAATAACATTACTATGAATTAATCGCTTAATACACAGGCTTCTTCTTAGCGGCTTAGGACTGAATGCAGGATATCCTTACTATGAATTAATGGCTTAGTAGAGGTGATGTGGGAGAAGTGAAACTGGTACTTAGCTTGAAATGGTAGATGAACTGCTATTTAAATATCACCACAGCAAAAAGGAAAAAAAAAAAAAAAAAAACAGCATGGTTCTGTTAATATTCACTGAAGAAAAATACTTATTTGTCAATTTTTTTAACAGCAGATCCCAGGAAAATCCATGCTGGCAGGATCCCTGCACCTGGGTGAAACACAAGATTAAATCAATGTGGTGTCAACCTATGCTGGAGGTGGAAATTGATGTTTATTAGCTTTTTTCAAATTTTTGCAATTTTGTGATGTTTTTAGTGATAGCTTTTTCCAAATTTGCTCTTTTTTTTTTTTTTTTTTTTTTTTTTTTGTAGCCGGGAGAAGCTGTTTTACTATGGATATTGCACTTTTAATTTAGTTAATTTATTGCTGTTTTATGTAATTTCCAATGTTGTGGATGCTTCTTGCATTTTTAATTTTAGTACTTTTTTGCTCTTTTATGTAATTTCAGCGCACTGCCATTTTAAATGGCTACTATTTTTCATGTCTCAGGTTGGCGAAAAATTAGTTGAAAAATAGTAAAGTCAATGATTAGTGACTTTCCAGATGGGTTGGGCAGATAATAATCATCGAGTACCAAAAATATCATAGCTCTAATTTTTTTAATTAACAATTTAATATCACTTTTAAGCTTGGTATTCTTTTCATTTTATTTATTTATTTTGATGAACATGTGGCATTCGTATCATTTTTGTATATTTTTAATAAGTACTTCTGTTTTAAATTTGTTAAATCCATGTTTATCAGAACAAATTAAACACATACATTTAGTTAATTTTAGTAATTTCTTGTAGAGTTATAGTGTTTCATTTGATTTTACTGTTCATGGGTATCACACATGTAAAATGAATGTGCTTGATATGTAGTTTGAATTTAAAGTATTATACAAAATTTTCATTTCTTAAAGCCTCTTGAGAATTATATTATTAGCAAGGTTTTCCAGGTAGAATGAGCAAGTTTAAAATTTAATGAAGAATTTGGAACTTTATTTGCTTTAGAAAAAACAACTAATGATTGAAATATATTTACTAATTTTAATTGCTTAGTGATACGTTAAAAAAAAAATTAAGAGTTGTTGATCAGGAAAAGGGTAGGCAAAACAATTCTCTAAAATCTGAGGTCATGTTTATTTTGTGACATCATTTAATTTTGGTTTTTCTTAATTTAATAATTTCCTGCTAAAAATTGAATACATGTTAATATGTTTTTTGCAGATTTTATTGTTGATGTCTTAGTGTTAAATGTTTCTTTTCTTACAGTGATTCACCGATGAGGGTACGGATCAGCCTCAAATTACTGTTGGTGGTATTTACCATAGTTGTCATTGTTACCTCTCTCTCCTATTGGACTAACTGTGGTACTACTCTTAGCATCAGCGAAAAACAATGGCGAATTATAGAGCCTTGCCAACATTTCTCTTCACAGATGAAAAAACCGGAACTTTTAAATGCAGATCTGTTTCGTCTTGATGAGAACAATTCTGATGATAACCTACTTGATGTTGGACAACATGTTGATTTACGAAATGAATTGAGGACATTAGAAGAGATAGAATGCTCGATAAACGATGAATATACTATTTCATGTAGACAAGATAATGGTGAAGTGTTTATTCCATTTTCATTTATTCAAAAGTACTTTGAAGTGTATGGTAAAATTGTTAAACATAATGGAGTTAACCGCTTTGATTGGCAACATAGTTACTCAAAAGTGTATTTTCCAAAACAAAAGTATGATCCTAGCAAAGTTTTCCTTTGGTTTGAAAACTATAATGTTGAAGTACGAGATCGAGTGAAATGTATCAGTGGCATTGAAGGTATGTTGTTATTTTTTTTAAGTAAAAATTTGTTCTCATCTCTATTTAAATGTTGCATTGTTGATTTTAAATTTAAAGTATTAATGTACTTTTCTGAGGCTGTTCCCAAGTGAACAGTATTTCACTAGTTATTAATAATTTTTTTTTTCTCTTTATCAGACTGAAGGTGCAAAACTGAATATAGCTAAATATCTTTAGCACACAAAACTGAGTATTTTTTGGTACTATGTATCCTTTCAGTTATAAAAGTTTTATTCTTAGAAAAGTTTAATCTTTCTTTTGATCTCATTAAAAATCTGTTGAATTATAGATTTACTGTTGCAGTGAGTGCTGAGGATTTTCACTCATTCATCATGCATAATGTGCTAGACTTGAAAAATAAATCCATCATAAGATAAACACTTTGAAACTGTTATGATTTGCTAAGATAGCTTTTCAGCAAAACTGAAGTGATTGTTCAGCGTCTCAAGCTTCGTATTGAGGAATTTCTGACATTTTTCTGTATCCTACAGCCATAAAAATTAAGCTGTCTAACCACATTTTAATGCTTGAATCATTTTGATGTGTTTAATAGTTTGTAACAATTCACGTTTATAATTCAGGCATGCTTTTTATGCCCTTATATTGTACATTACTCGATTAGCATTTTAAGATTACCTGTTTCCATTTTGTGCATGCATTGATACAGCTCCTAAACTTGTAAACTTTCTTCTTAGCTGCTGTATGTTTTCTCTTCTCTTAAGACACTCATTTGGCTCTTTAGAAGCAGAGAAAGGGGGGAATCTGAATTACAAGATTGTATATATATACTAGGTCAGAAATTAAAATTCTAAAAGTAATAAATAATGTTCTAGTTAATGTACGTGTCCTTGGCTACTAGAACCTTAAGGAACTGTCTAGCGACTGTTCGCTGGTCTTCTCACAACTATAAAATGTAATTCCAAAGAAGGGTTAAATAAAGTACCCTTTTATTGACTCAAAACACACGCATGGCCCCTTCTTGGGCTTACAGGAAAGTCTCCATGTGGGCTTTAACTTAAGGTAGACAATAAGAAACTAAACTAATTCTAACTAGCTAAACTTTAGCTAAAGCTGTGCAAAGATAACTAAGTTACCCCATAATTAAACCTCACAAGCAAATACTAACAGGCACATAAGATAGGCTTAAAGCAAAGATATGGCCCAAAGGCAGAACACTCTCTACTGAGAACTTCTGAGCTCTTCTACGGAAGTGACTGAACTTTCCTGCCGACAATACCACTATCCTATCTCAAGCTTCAACCATCAATACTATATAAATTTCTCTACAAAACTATATGGAGCTTCTTGAAAACCGGATGATGCTGTGGACAATTGCCGTTAACACTGACAAAACCAAAGCCATTATTTTCAGAAAAGGACAAACAAACTTCCTTCCGCCTAATCCCATCTTCTTTGACGACGAAATTCAGTGGACGGATCAACTGAAGTATCTCGGAGTCACACTTGACAAAAAACTCACTTTTCGGCAACATTTATACGAAACTGTCAGGAAATTCAATATCTCAATAGCTACTATGCATCCTCTCCTTTGCAGACATAGCAATCTGGCTATCAACAATAAGCTTATTTTATACAAGTCCATCCTTAGACCTACTTTACTTTACGCCAGTCCGGTATGGGGGCGCGCTGCTAAAACCCACATAAAAAAGATCCAAGTTATTCAAATTAAAACCCTTCGTGAAATTATTAATGCACCCTGGTTCATCCCAAATTCATATATTCACAGAGATCTTCAAATTGCTACTATACAAAATTATATAAAAAAAACATGCAACAATTTTTTTTCCTTTCTGTATTATTACAGCCAAACAGCTGTATCAGCTCTTTGCGATGCTCACCTTTTCCTAGAGGAAACACAGATATCCTTCGGATATTCTAACCTAACATTTTGTTAGTTATTTGAAGTACCTACTACCTTACTGATCCAACTTTTTTCACATTGCTGGTCTATTTTCATTCATTTCATCTTTCTTCGCCGACTGATGAAAGTGAGTGAAATATCCCATTCTACCATCTTGATTCTTCATAGTTTCCTTTTGTTGTTCCAGACATTCTTTTATCTGATGCGGAATAAAAGCGCTCTGCCCTGCGCTGTCACTCTCTTTCCATTCAACACAAGCAAGTTTAAATATTGGTTCTACGTCATTTACATACATAAAACGCGATACTGAAATCTCACTCTGATAAGTAGTTGTAGGTGAGAAACAAGAATTTAAATGAAAGGGTTTCAAAATTAAAAATATCTATTAGAAAATTAAAACAATCCCTACTGCAGTGCAAAATTAATGAAATTATCAGGAATGGGTTAAATTATACAAAATTAGTATCCTTCTGTAGTGGTAAATTTACTAAGAAAGTACAAAATGCATCCTAAAAGATTTTAATCCAAAAAGGAAGTAAAAGTAAATTAATACAATATAAAGTAAAATTCACACAGTATTAAACAATGGTTGAAAATTCTGTGGGTTGTGTCAAGAAGCAGCTGAAAGAATTTTCAAGAGAGCCATGTTTCTGAATTATCCTGGATGAAAAAGAAAATTAAGAGAAATAATTTTAGAAAAATTCAATTAAATGAGACTAAATCAATACAAAAAAATTTTTTTGAAAACTGAAATATTTTTTTAAATGATAAAATGTGATGTTGTTTAAATACATTCATTAAGAAATAATTGCTCCGGTGTGACTCAAAATTTATTACACAATATAAAAAAAATATTAAGAGTCAAATATTTTTACTAAGAGGAAAATTTACTTATTCAGGATATGATTTTTTTTTTAAATTAGTAACTTGGAAAAGCAAAATAGTATATTGCACAAGTTGCCCCTCTTCCCCCCAAAAAACCTAAAATTGTAAGTTAATTTTAGCTAAATTGAAACATACATACATCCAGATTCTTTATTATTAAGGCAGAATTGGTCAAATTTTGTAAATGTGGAGTTGTTAAAACTAAATTTCAGAGTATTATTTTTTTTTACATCAAAGAGGAAATAATAATAATAATAATAATAATAAACATGAAAAGGATTTCAACATCTCCCCAAGCTTCTGCAAAATGAAAATTGTTGAAAACCAAGAATTAAAAAAAAAATTATGGAAATTGTTGAAAACCAAAAGTTAAACAAAATGTAAGAGAACAAACAATTTAATAACATTTTAAAAGAAACAGCTAACTTGTAAAATCAAAATGCATAATTTATACACCATCAACCTAATTTATGTGGAATTGTAAATTGCAAAATAAAATTTAATTTAGATGAAGCACCTAGAAGGCAAAGTCAAAACAAGTGAAAAAATAATGAGCATTATTGAAATCCAAAGCAAATTGTCATAAAGTTACTACATACAAAAGCGTAATTAAAAAGAAAAAAAGAAAAACTGGAAGTTGTCAGATTTTACATTACATTCAAAGAGGCTTTTTTAACCCTTTTCTGTGTTATCTTTATTTATTAAATATGATGTTCTTTGCACCTACACCACATAAAATGAAATTCAAATCAGTAGTATCACAAAATATTTAAAAACAGCATATGTTTAGAATTTGCGTCCTAGAAATAAAAATGTTTTTTTCTGTATTGTGTTACCATTGCTCGCTTTGAAATCATTGAATCTGTTAACCAAAAATTCGTTAAAGTTGTACAAAATATAAAAAAAATAATAAAACAAATTTGAAATTCAAAATTTAGGCTTTCAGGTGCTTCATGTTCAGGTGGAGGATTATGTTATTTAAAATTTGATGGCTCTTGGTACCGTCGTTTTTTCACAGTGCGAGAAACATGCATACATTCATCCAGATTCTTCATTATTTCCTTAAATATAATATAGGGCAATAATATTTGGTGGCAACAATTTGAAAAGAGATTCAGACTTTCCTAGTAATTCAACATAAAATGCTATTTTGTGACTAATAGCCCTTCTGGGCTAATGCCCGTTTAGGCTAAAAAAGTAAAATAATATATAAAGCAGCAGTAAAGGAAAACCAAAAATAAGAATTAATTTTACATAATATTTCCAAAAAAAAAAAGTATACCGAATGCTGCGTGTAATGTGACGATACTTAACATCCAAAAAATTGAGAAATTTGAAAAGACTCAAGTTAAGTAGTGCAAAGTTGAGTAGTAATACTGGAAAAATATTACTGTTTAAATTAAGGCATTTTAAATTATGAAAAGTAATGTGCTGTATAAATTGGTACTAATGTTTAATTAAAGTAAAATGGAGAATTTAATTTATTCCCTAAAAGAACCTGTATGATGTAAAAAATTTTGAATGATTGTAAGGTCAGAACTATACAAGTTAAGTAGTGCGAGTGCTGTCTAGTAAAAATGGAAAATAATTTCATACTATTGTATAAATTAACATAATAGAATAAAAAATGCAAAATTAACTGGCTGGAGGAGCAGGAGGAAAGTTATGGGAGGGAGAAAAATAGTACGTTTATAGTAAGAAGGCTTCACTTATTTGGCATATGATATGGTTGGAATTGAAATGGCCTACTGTTAACAGCGATTATTTACGTGTTTATATTTACAAATCAAGTAAATACCTCCTTTAGAGGCTTAAGTATTTACTATCCTAAGTAACAAGAATAATTACAATGACCAAATGTGCTATTTTCAGAGTTACAAATTAAAACAAAAATGAAGAGGAATTTATTATGAATTAAGTGTAATTTAGACTGGGTGAATTTCTTGATGATGGTCTTATGTGCAAATTTTTTTTATTATTGTGTTAGTAGTTAATTACTTTATCAGAGGTATTGGAATTCCAATCGATTACTTTATTCGTATTAAACAGTCTCCTTTTTTCAAAAAGCATAATTTTTATAGCTAAGAATTTTATTCTCAGGGTAATAAACTTCATTACTATTAATTTTAATTTCATTGCATGCCTTTCATTGAAATAGAATGAAATTGTCCATAAACCTTTCATTAATATTTATCATTGCATTGGCTTTATC